TGAGATAGGTAGCTTCTAATTTTGCTTTGGCCACTGGGTAGCCTGCTTCGGTTATTGGGATCATTTTAATAGCAGTTGACGCGCTGCCCTCTAGTTTGGTGATGAGATAGCTGAACTTCTCAATGTCTGACCATTGTTGAGAGTCTATTATTCTGTTGAAGGCTTCCCAAAATCGAGGAAAGTCTTCTCTTCTACCGTTAAACGTGGGGATATCAATTCTGGGAAGATAGTGTGAGCTGTTGTTTCTTTGAACGTTATCTGTATCTCTTTGCCAGTTTCTTGCTGTATCTATTCTGGCTTGTGTCCTTAGTAGTTCTCTGAGATTGCTCACTGCGTCTTCTAATTCTCTGATTCTTTCATTGTCTGTATTCCTATTTCTGCGAGTTGATCCACCGCTTTCTTCATTTCTGGGTATTTCAAAGGATGGACTTAGAAGCGTTCGATGTGGGGTGCTGTGTAACGGTAAAGTTCTGGAGGTGTTTGGGCCTTCAGATTTTTCAAAGAACTTCATGGGTTTTATGTTTCCAAAGTCTGGGTGTGCTTCAATTTCTTGCCTTCTTGATAACCTTGTGAGATGCCTAGTGGCTCTGGGAGTTGGATCTTCATCCATATCTGAGGATGATATGTCCCCGTTAGGTGCGTTTCTGGGGTACGGAGTGAATTGGTGTGTCTTTTTTCTGTTCTGATTTTCTTTTATTCCCAAGTTGTTCTCATACAATGGTCTCATATTTGTGATATGACCCATGAAGTATCTCCTATCTAATTGGCTGTGCAATATTTTTGTGTAGTTGTCACACGTCGAATCTCCTAGCCTTTTGGAGAATTCTGCATCATGAATTGCTTGAGTTGCATCTAATTCACTCAGTCTCATTTTCAAGTTCTCTGCTGTGTCTTCTAAGTTTTTGATGAGCTGATCAAATTTTTCTGTTTTCTTGAATTTTTCATAACTGTTCAGCATGTTTTGAATATCCTCTGGATGTTTTCCCATTGCTCTTTCGGTATACAGTGTTGCTATTGTTGCTATTGTTTCTCCTTCGGATATTCTATTTGCGAGCATTTCTCGAGTAAGTGTTTTTACGTTTGATCTTTCTATGAATTTCTCGTTATTCCACTCTAGTGATATTGTTTGAGAAGGGGTTATTTTAATGTTTCCTTGATCTATTCTGTTATGAGTTCGATCATTTGTCGGTGTTTGGGAAGATGAGGAATCCTCCGAATTTGAGTCAGAAGAAATGTCTTCTATGATTTGAACAGGAGATGAATCTCCCTTTTTGGCACAGAGTGGTTTCCCACCCTGAATTGAACAGGGAACGTCAGTTCCCTGAAATTGATAGGAAACTTGAGTTTCCTTTGTTGGACAGGGAACTTGCGTTTCCTGAATTGAACAAGAAGCTTGCGTTTCTTGAATTGACTCCTCGCAGCCGGAGCTTTGAGGAGATAGCAGCTCCGTGAGAAGACCACGGATGCTTTTTTGCAATTCCTGGGACTTCAATAGGAAGTTCTCAGGATAGTTGTGATGAGTTCGCTGCTCGAACTCATCTATCTCGGCGTCAGCATCAAAGAGGTAGCGTATGATGAGTTGACCCGAAGGTTCAACTTTACGGTACACATCTACTAATGCTTTGCGAGACAGCTGAAT